ATAAGGGGGAGAAATAGAGAATACAAAAAAGAAAGAAATAAGAGTGGATTAGTGATGTTGTTTGACATTGAGAAGTATATTAATTGAATTGTTTAACATTAAGGACTATGTAGAAAATATGATACTTTTAGGTACAAAAAAATTGAGATAAATTTTATACTCTTTTATCAAAGTTAGTAAAAATTGGATAAATTTTAAATTTTATTATGTTTTTATAAATTAAGAATTCGATTTTTTAATTATAAGATTAGATAAATTTATAAAAAATACTTCAAAAAAATGGGAGGATAAAATTGTCAGAGCCAAATTATAATAGGTGTCCAGCTCCAAAGCAAGTAGGTCAATGAAATTGGACGGTGGGGTTGTGATAAGATAGACCAAGTTGTAGAAAAATAAGTGATCATTGGTATATGTCAGCATCACTCAATAAGTGTCGTTCACTTTGTCTTTTGTACATAGATACCAATACATTCCAACCAAGCCTCATTCACTAGATGTGGACAGCTTTTTTTTTAACAAGCTACATGGCAATTCACATTTGCAAAATCACACTCAATACATTCTTGATTAATCTATTTTGGGTTATTACTTTTTTTTTTCTTTCGGTTTAGTAACATTTTTTGTTTTTAAAATATGTATAATTTGTCGATTTAGTTTTTTAAGTATCAATTTTATCAATTTAATTTCTAAAATATTCAGTTTGTATGTAAATGATCTCTATAAAGACGGACTATTAAGTTTTAAGCATAATGATTGCGTGATACTATCTAAAATAATGATATGTGGTCATTTTCATCAAAAAATTTGACGAATTATATAGTTAAGGATCAAAGTAGCACGAATTAAAACTTTACGAACTAAATTAACAAAATGAATACAATTAAGACAAAATCGACAAAATATGTTTTAGATATCAAAAGTGTTACTAACCATTTTTTTTTCTTCTTCTTTTGATATATAAAATGAATATGTAAATAGATCACTCAATATATTTGTCAAGGAACATTGCCTCTCCGCATCACATAATTATCTACAGGAGACCTCACCTCACCTACGTCTAGATCGAAGCTAAAGTCTCATTGCATACCCTGAGTATTGAAGAGTAAATTTAGTCCTGCCGAATTGTCGCAACTATAGAAATTCGAACGTAAGTATTAAATGAAAAAACTTCAATTCTTACTTCTGAATTGTTACTAGATATATTATTGTTGACAAAGTATTATATCTCTGTGACACCCCAAAATCCTTGTGTCTGTAATTACCCGATTGATTACCTATCAACCCACAAAATATCTGTGGATACCATATAATTCGATACCACATCGTTATGTCCCATTTACCGAGGTCCATAATTTAATAAAATTTGGACAGAGTCTCATTTGTACGAGAAGTTTTATCCAAAACGCAACCTGTATAATATTGACCACACCAAGTTTATCTATCAATTCACAATTGTATAGTATTGAATACTACCATAATCATCATCATTACGTACATTCATTCATAAAAGAATAAATGTCTGAAAAGAGTCCCTTATACATGTCTTTTAAATATAAACAAGTTTTTGTTACAAAAATTACACAAGACCAAAAGTAATTATAAACAAAGGACTACGATGTCAAAAGAAGAGTCACAGACCGGCTCTATCGTCAAAGCGAGTCCATGGCCTCGCCTTTGGTGGATACTTGTGCAATACCTAAAAAATGTTTCCATAAAGAGTGAGTCAACGCTCAATAGGGTAACTCCTATAGAGAATACCTCTCAACCTAAATGCATATGAAATATCACATACAACAATCATTTCATGCAATCATTCAAATATGTCTATTATGAACAAATGTCATAAATTATGTCATGTCATGAGATGAGACTCACGAACACAATACCAACACCGAGCCCCATCCTGAGCTCCTACAACACATGCAACGTCGTGCGTATGTATCTGGGCATTTCAAGTACCGTCATTAGTATTATGTACACTCAATGACTAATTAATTTACTTTCTTGTGTCTTTGTGGGGAGATGATTTATGGTATTACACCAATAGGACACCAACCATCAACGGATTCTCAGGACATCCCACCTGCGGCTCCGTTTTGGCCGTTATACTTTTATGAAATTTCACCGCCAGAAAATGTATAAACTAAGTAAGCTGGTCTTGCACCCGAGGGAGAATCTAGCCCTTCTTGCTATCCTCAATACGTTTATCCATTTAATTTTTCGTATGACTCAGTCGGACCTTGATGCAACTTTTTTGAGTCCACAATCAACCACCTATGTGGTGATTGATTTCATCTCATGCACACACTCTCACCCATGTCAATACTCATGAATGTAATATAACTCATGCATAATGACATTTCAATGTGCAATTATTTTTTGTACTATTTACAATGTTCATTACATAAAAAATACAATATAATGACATTTTCAACATGACAACATGTTTATTAATTTTATAAACATAAGTACAAATCCACCACAATAATTATATGTTAAATAATTATTTAACATACATATTATTCCATAATCACATAACAAGCTAATAATTTTATTAAACTTAATATGTCATTTAACACATAAAATAATGCTAATGTACAATTAACATGTTTTAAACCACTAACATTAACTTATATCAAGTTAATCATAATAAGATTTTTCTAATTACAAAGTTAATTATAAATCATATATTTGACCCACTAGTTACACTAGTCATGACTTAACATGTGATATACACTCATACCCTACCTATTTCATATGTCATATTTTAGGTTGAAAGTAAATCTAAATAGGAGAAACCCTAACTCTCGTAGCGTGAGCCCACGTATTGGAACGTCGAAGAAGCCCAATTTAACTTCCCAAACTTTAGGCCTAAATTATCGTTTTTGATATTCTTTCGGAGAAAAATACGAAATTTAGTGTGATTGCGTAGCTCTCGTTGAGTGTAGCAACTTTAATTCTTAGCCCGAAACAATTAAACGATCTAATCTTCGTAGATCTGAAGAAGAAGAAATGAGGAAAATAAAAAAAAATATATTCTTTTATCTCTCTCACTCACTTAGTAGCCGGCTGGAGGAAGAGAAAGTGGAAGACTAAAGTTTTTCACACTTATATATATAGTATAAATTTATATTTTAAAAATTTTATGTTTTTGACCCTTATATTTACAATTAATTATTATTTTACTCCTTTAATTAAGATTTATAATAATAATAATAAATTTTTTTCCCTGGGTTTTACAATCTCATTTTTTTGTTTGATGACTGATAATGGGTTTTTCAATTTTGATTTCCACTACAATTTTTACAATGATATTTGGAAGTTATCATTGGGCTAGAAAAACTAGTTACTCAAACTTTAAAGGGTTGTTTGGTAAGAGAGTATGGGGCTTGACAAGATAGGTTTGGAGAAAATAGTGTAAAGGACTTCCAAATCTCATGTTTGAATTAAAAACTCAATCTTAGGTTCTCAAACCTAGCCCTGACCGAATATTAAACCTATGATCATGAGTTTCATGAAACCTAGGGAGAAGTAAGTTTGAAAAAATGAGTTAAGAGTTTAGGGATACAAAAAACAATTGTACCCCTCGACATAGGTATGAATTGGATTGATCAAGGGTAAAAAAGTTATTTACAAGATAAATAGTTATTAATAATTATGATATATCTGTGGGTATTACAAATGTATGTTTTGCATACCAAATATAGGAATGAACTAGATTTAATGTTGAATCTCATATTTATAAAAAGGGGTTTGAATTTAGAAGAATTTGGGATAGTCAATCCAAATTCTTCCAAAATTCATCCAAACAAAACATAATGGATATGTGTATGTTGTGATTATCCATGATGGGGTTTGAACTCTTGATCCCCATAATTTTTTTTATCAATAGATAATTTTAGTTACTTTTTTAAATAAAAATTCATTACAAGTATGTTTGATGAAATTTTAATTTCGAGTGTAACCCATATCCCATCGCTTCTATTAAAAAAAGGGAATTTTGTTGATAATTTTGTTCTTACCTTTCAATTTATGAGAAAAAAACAAAATTTACTTGGCTCTCTAATTCAATGCGGCATTTTTTGGCAAAAAATTGTTACAATAGTAGGTAATGGTTCATATCATATGTAAATCATGTCGTTTCAAAAAAAAATTCAACTCAAATCTCATTTATTAAAAAACATTTATAATATTTTTTGTATTAATATCTTGTTATTTAAGTCATTTTTGATATAGTTATATAATGAATTTGATCGAGTCATGTGTTTACCATCTCAATATGGTTAGATTAAACCTTAAATCTTACTATTATATGGTATCTATGGATTATGTCTATAATTTCTTTTTTTTTCTCAAACACTATTGCAGGTATTAAAGACGATAAAATTTGAACTTGTGACTTTAAAATCTAACGATAAAAATGATGATCATTATTGGACCAAAAACATCTACAAAAAAATCCCGTAACTCGCGACACCCTTACCATGACAATATAACAAAACAAGCAATCATTATGAAAAAATATTATTTAGATTTAATTTAAGAACTTAATTCAATATAACTATTGAATTAAAAATAAATTTTATTTCACGTTGAAACTCATAATTAATTTAATAATTAAATTAAATTTTTGTAGCATTACTTATCGTCACAACTCATTAATACCCGAATAATGTTGTGCATACCACTTATGTGCAACACCTCACTTCTACCGGGTGATGCGGTATAATCAAGGTTATTAAATATTTGATAAATTTTGTAAGACTTATTAATTTAATGGTGCATATTAAAGTGATACAAAGAGATGGTCTGTGTAATATTGTCATTAATACTTACCAGCAAAGTAATCACATTAATTTGCCACTTTGTTTGGGACCCACCAAAAAATACCCCTCCCGCAGCCCAGGACCTAACCAACGAATCAGATCCGTCCACGTCACATCAAAAAATCCAAATCATGACTTTATATATACGTAATAGAAACACCGTAAATTCTCCCCCCTCAATATCTTCTCACCGGAGACGACAATGATTCGGTACCCCGCCGGTGCGCTGCTCTTTCTGGTGCTGTCGATCGTCGCCGTCGACGTCGAGAGCCGGAACGCCGTTGATGATGTGCTGAAATTGCCTTCGGAAGCTGCGAGATTCTTCCGTCCAAATGATGTTGGTAACGCCGTTGATGATGACTCTGTGGGAACCAGATGGGCGATCCTGCTTGCTGGATCAAATGGATACTGGAATTACAGGCACCAGGTAATCAATCATAACTCAAATTATTTCAATTTTTTTTTTACTCAGTGTCTTAAATTTATGTTTATTTCTTGTGATATTGATGAATTTTGGGTATTTTTGGTGGATTATGTTCTTGGTGTTGTTGAAGATTAGTTTTGTGTGTGTCTATAGAGGTATAGGTCTATATTCGGGCTGGGTGATTCTAATTTTATTAGAAATTCAGGTTGGGTTCATTGAGTAGAACTTTTATGAATGAGACGATTTTTCCCTTTTTTATTCTATAATTTCTGAAATTCTGGTCTGGGTTTTTAGTTATGTTTTGTTGTTCATGAGTAAATCTGAGAAAAGTAGAACTGTTGTTTCCCCCATCAATCTTTGGAATTTAGAAATATACAGGAAACAAGATGCAGATCTGTTTTATAGAATCCGCTGAAGTGGTTAAGCTTCATAACATATTATGATTTTTAGTACCAAAAAATTTGGAAAAAACGGCTTATCTAGGTAACAAATTAGTGTCTGCTGTTCCTGTAAGATTTGACTGTTAAGGTAGTTCTTATGCTGGGATAGAGTGAATAAATCATGGTGGGTTGAGGAATTATGAATCTCAGTCTCTACATATTAGAATGAAGTGCAAGGTGAGAGTTTTAGCTGACCCCTAATGATCGGGACATAAGGCTTGGTTGGTTGCAAGGTGAGAGTTTCTTCAAATTGAATGCTCTGTTTAGTTGCCAAATTTTTTTATGAGATATGCAAGGAGAGGGATTTTTCAATTTTTATTCTCTGGTTGGTTGCTGCGAAAAGTCAATAAGAAAAAAAAAATTCAAGTTCTGATACATTCAAGACGGTTAAGTCCTAATACTTAGATTTTTGTAATCTGGGACTACAAAAAGCAAATTGCTTTTGATTTAGTCGGATTAATGTTCTTTGGGCTTCGATGAGTGTTGTTAATTTTTGAGGCTGTTAAATTTTATATATTTCTATCTATATCTTATCTTTTAATATTGGGCACTATGTTTGTTCCAGGCAGATGTATGCCATGCCTATCAACTCCTCAAGAGAGGTGGTCTCAAAGATGAGAATATCATTGTTCTCATGTATGATGACATTGCTTACAATGAAGAGAACCCTAGGCCTGGAGTCATCATAAACAGCCCACATGGTAGTGATGTTTACAAAGGAGTACCAAAGGTTTGTTTCTACTCTTCAGGTGTCATCCAAGTTGTAAATTCGAAGATATGCCATCTTTTTTTCACGTAGTCAGTTTTCTTGATGCAGGATTATACCGGGGATGATGTTACTGTACACAATTTTTTTGCAGTTCTACTTGGAAACCAAACTGCAGTTAAAGGGGGCAGTGGGAAGGTCGTGGACAGTGGTCCAAATGATCATATTTTCATATACTATTCTGATCATGGCGGTCCTGGGGTGCTTGGTTAGTAACTATCTTCGAATAATTGCCTGGGTTTACACTTTCTTTGTCTGGTTTGAGAGGAAAAGTCTCAAATCTTTGTTGCTTTATGTTTCTATGTTCTTAGCAAAACGTTACTTGCATCTGACATTCAATCTTGGTGCATTATCTCTTATGCACCCATGTTTGGGATCTGAAGATGATGCTGGCCTGTGGTAGTGCATGACACAGTCTAACCTCAAAGGAATAATTCATGTTATGTAGCTTTTTGGACATTGTGGGAACTCTCTGGCACAAAAAATAAAAAATCCCATAAAAAATTGTAACTTACAATTCTATCTCAAGATGTAGCTTGGTCCAACAATCTGCACCGAGGACAATGCCCTTTACTACTCCCATAAACTTGCAGATTCCAAAAAACTTTAGTGTCATCACTTTGGTGATATACCTACTAGCCTTTACAGTATAGCTTTTTGCTTTGAAGTTGTGGCAACAGATTTTAATTTTGACATCCAGTGATTCGATGCATGTGAATCTATTTTTTAAGCCTTCTGACGTTCAAACTATTGCAATTTAGGCAGAACAGACATTAGACAGAATAAACTTCTCTCTCGATGCACTGGAGAAGAAGCTACTTTGCGAAGTTTCAAAGTTTTGGGCTCGTGCTTACTTTTCGATGTTTTTTTATCATATCTTAAATGATTTCAGGTTTTGGACATTTATATATACTAAACTGTGGGAATGTTGCTCTAATTGACAGGGATGCCTACCAGTCCTTACATCTATGCAAAAGATCTGATAGATGTCTTGAAAAAGAAGCATGCTTCTGGGACATATAAAAGCTTGGTAAACTATTGGTTGATTGTCACTTACTGAGCACATTTTCTACCAGCTCTATCTAAGATTTGTCGACTATATTTTAAACAGGTATTCTATCTTGAAGCGTGTGAGTCAGGAAGTATCTTTGAGGGTCTTCTTCCTGAAGGGTTAAATATCTATGCAACCACGGCCTCGAATGCAGAAGAGAGCAGCTGGGCAACCTATTGCCCTGGGGAGTATCCTAGTCCTCCCCCAGAATATGATACATGTTTGGGCGACTTGTATAGTGTTGCCTGGATGGAGGACAGGTAATGCAGATTTCATTCTGATTGTATGTATTGTGTAATAATTATGGAAAAGAAATGGTTGTGGCAAACTAGGGAGGCAGTAATCTCAAGTTCTGAACCACGATGTGGAAGTCTTGAAATAAAAGCTGATTACTTTTCCTGGTTTATCTGGTTCGTTGCAAAATAAGGTTTACTTGTTTGGTAAATTTCGCAGCTTTGTCACACTTTAAAAATTTATATTTTTTGTATTTTTTAAAGAAGGAAGAACCGATGGGTAGCTAAATGTTAGGTACTGGACTTGAGGTTAATTGTTGTGACCTCTTGAAACTTCTTTCTCCTGAAGTGTACATTCTTGACCTACAACGGCTTGGCCTTCCAAATCAGCCGGTGTTTTAAAATGAGAATTTAACTGTTTATTATTTGCTGCTCAATGGTGCAATTCTTGTGGGAGCGATAACTAATCTTTTGACCTCGTGAACAGTGACATACACAATCTGCGGAGGGAAACACTGCGGCAGCAGTATGAACTGGTAAGATTTTATGGCCTTATGTTGAAGTTTAACAGTTTGCAAGAAACTAATATTACTCGAGTCACAATAGAAAATTGAAAGAATAATGTTTTATAGGCTCAAAAACATAAATGAACTTCATTTCTTATAAATTATGTGTGCCAATACAGGTGTAGATCTGTGTTGAAGGAGTCTTCACACAGAATATTCTACTGGCCTTCCCTTTTGTATGCTCTTATATACTTCAGTTGATTTTGTAATTTCATTATGCTGGCATTTGCAGGTTAAAAGGAGAACTGCAAACGAGAACTCTATATATGGTTCCCATGTCAAGCAATATGGCGATCTGCAGCTTAGCAAGGAAAATCTTTTCCTCTATATTGGTACAAATCCTGCAAATGATAATTATACTTTTGTGGATGACAACTCCCTGCGGCTTTCTTCAAAAACAGTTCACCAACGCGACGCCGATCTTTTACATTTCTGGCACAAGGTTTGTATCCAATTCTCGGTATACCAAATGGAATCCCTTAATGCCTTTACCTGTCATAACTCCTTTCCAAGCTAGGAACTATCAAGAGGTGGTTGCTCTGATTCATTGATTGAAATTCTTAAAGGAACCTTTACTAGTACTGAAATTTGGAAAAACTAAATGCTGCAAATAGATTGTTGGAACTTGGAACAATGTTGTAGTCTCTTCATGTTATTTGATAAGCTCCTATATGGTGCATTTTTGTTCAACAATAATTGTAGCAGGATATTAGGACCAAGAATCCATTTCCAGTCACAACTTTTGTATGAAACCACCAAAACCAGTTTAATAGCAACTCCACTAGTCTGATGCGATAAATAGTCCAACATTTATATTAGGGCTCCATTATATTTGACCACCTATTTTTGTTACATTTTCCCAAAAAAGTTCAGGTAGAAAAACTTTTATGCACCCTATCTTTTTTTTTTATATCAGTTCATTGTTGGCAGTTCCGCAAGGCTCCTGAAGGCTCTGATAGAAAATTTCAAGCTCAGAAGCAGTTTGCTGAAGCTATGTCACATAAAATGCACTTGGACAACAGTGTAAATCTTATTGGAAAGCTGTTGTTTGGAATTGACAAAGGCACTGAGGTGTTGAAGACTATCCGACCTGCTGGGCAGCCTCTTGTTGATGACTGGGACTGCCTTAAAACATTGGTAAGATTTTTTTTTCCTTCCTTATTTTTGTCATAATTTACACTTCTAAATCTATATAAGTTACTTATGCTCTGTTTGGTAGGAAGGATGAAAAGTAAGAGGAATACATTTTCTATCCTTCAAGGATGGAAAGTAGGAATGATACACTTTCCTTCCTTTATGTTTGGTTGAATAGATGAAAAATAAAAGTGACTAATTTTTTTTTTAATTTTTTTTGTGATGGCTAAGATTAGGGTGACAATCGAGTCGTGTCGTGTCAGATTTATGTTGAGTCATAAAATTATAAGCTTTTTATATTTCTTGTTCGCATGTTAGGCCATTTTTAAGTTCGTGTCGATTTATGATCAAATTCGTGTCATAAAATTTGTGTGGAGTTCGAGTCGTGTCATCGTGTTGAGTCAAAAATTTTCACCCCTGATTAAAATAAAAAAAATATTTTTTTTAATTTAAAATTTTAATTTATTTATTATTTTTTTAAATATATATATATATACATATTTTATCATTATATTTTTATATAAAATTAATATATACATAATATATATAGACAAATAAGATACATCTCAATACAAATAATTAATTTTTCATCCACTTTCTTTCTGATTTTAGAAGAATTGATTTTGATGAGTTGGAAGAAAAGTTAATCCATCCACTTTTCCATCATTTCTACTTTTCTTCCTTACTAAACATGATGTTTTATCTATCCCTTCAACTTTTCATCATTTAATTTTTTTATCGTACCAAACGGAGCATTAGTTTCAAAATAACCCACTTCTTTGGGACTGAATTTGTCATATCAGATGGAAAGGAAATTGTAGAGACGCAGAGGTTTGTGGATTGGTTTTCATAAGAAGGAAAATCATTCTCTTGATTTCGTTAGAAATCTAAAACATAAACAAGCTTGGATTTTTTATTTCAAAGTTTTTATACAAGAATTATTTCAAGCTATTTTGATGCCTGTGAAAATGGAGCGTTCTTGTTCTCTTTGCAGGTCAGAACATTCGAGGCACACTGTGGATCCTTTTCTCAATATGGAATGAAACACATGCGCTCCATTGCCAACATCTGCAACGCTGGAATTCGGAAGGAGCAGATGGCTGAGGCATCAGCACAAGCTTGTGTCACCATTCGTTCAACTTCTTGGAGCTCTCTCCACAGGGGGTTCAGTGCCTGATTGTCACAGAATCCGCAACCTGAAAGACCAACCCATCGTTTTATTCCAATATGACGTAGTGTTCCTCTATATACGTATTCCTGTTGCTACTATAATTTGCTGCTTGTTAATATTTTGTCACTTCACTGTAAATACAGCTAGGAAGCACACATCTACTTGACTGCTATGTAACGAAAAAAAAATGTGATGTTTGTTTTGGCTGCACATAATGTTACAGTGCTTGTATGCAAAGTTTGAATCTGCATTAAACACAGCCTGAAGTGAAAACGAGAGACAAAACTGGTACATGGATTTGGTTTCTCGTCCTCGTATAAGACCTGTACCACCACATCGAGACACAGTCTGTTTTGATACCATGCTGTAATGCCCTAGTTTCACTATTTAAGATATTGTTTGTTTCGTGTTTCGTTTGCAAGTTTGCAACTTTAAAACATCGTGTTTTGTCTGTTATGTGTTTTGAAAGACAAGGTGTTTGCTCATGCTCTTTTTCAGATAATTTGTCTTGTGTTTCTTAGAAGATTGATTGATTCTAATGTTGTTACATCTTTACCCGTAGCTTATAGTAAGGTTGACGCATTATTCCAAAAATAAAAAATAAAAAACTATTGTCACGATAATGTACAGTTGTCTTTTTCTTTTTCTGTAATCTAAAAAAAATTTGAGGGACATCTGGGGTGAAACCCTTGCCTAGGCGTGGCCATAGCTGTCCGAAGGGGTGGAGGGAGGGTGGGGCCAATGGGGTAGTTGGCCCCCACAACAATTTAAAAAAAAAATTGGTGTCTTTTTGAAATTTTAAGAAATTTAATTATTTTAAAAACTTGCCCCCATTGAAGAATTTCTTAAATTTAGAAATAGTTTCATATCTTAGAAATTAAATGAGATTCTTTTATACATCTAAAACTTAGGTTTGTTAATAAAATAAATTTTAATAAAATTCGATTTGATTAGTCAAACAAATTGAGATTATTGTTCAACAATTCGAGTCCAATTCAGTTATATAATAATACTTTTGATGAAATTGAATCAAAATTAAGGTGTAATTTGTTAATATCTAATTTTAATTGGCTTACTAATTCGATCGAATTTTAAATATTTAACTTATCGGATGTGGACTGTTTAACTAAAATCATTAAATAATTAGATTGAATTTATAAAAAGAGTTTTGAAAGCATATTTAGATTGGAGTTTTTAGATCCAATTAAGATCACTCGAAACCTAATCCAAATTTGATCATTACTTAACATTCAAGTTTTGATTATCGTTTTCTTCAACCATTGGTTGCCCGAACCCATGAGGGAAGCCTACCAAATAGAAAAACGACAAATCCTCTCATAGATTGACTCGAGTCATAACTTAATTCCCAATAAAAATAACATAATTTTTTGTAAATTAAACCTCATTAATATTTAAGTTAATGTAGCATTACTCTAAACAAAACACTGCAAGTCATTAGACGACCAATATGCTGGTTTCTCTCAATAAATTTCACCCAAAGAGGGATCACATTAAACCAACGTTGAAAGATTAGGGATATTGAATAAAAAATTTAAAGATTTAAACAAAATTCGAATCATAAATTAAAGTTCTTAAACCAAGCGCCATCGCACCAGTTCTGATTAAAATAAACACGGGATTAAATTAAGTGACGGCGACGGCGACGGCGAACTAACAGAGTCAAAGATTCCGTTTCAAAAGTTAACGGGGTGAAGTGGAATGAGGTTGAGAGTGGGACACAGTTACGCCGTAGCGGGGACGTGAATTAGACGGGCCTGACGGTTCAAACTTAGAGAGATCTGGACCGTTAGATTCGTAATAAACGGTGAGAGATGGACGGTAATGCTGTGACGGAATGTGTAATGGAAAACGGCGAGTATAAATAAAACCAGGGGGTTCGAAGGGGGTCACAGCATTTCGTTGTATTGGAATTCAGAAGTTCTTTCTCTCTGAATTTCCTTTCACTTTTTAGAGAAAAAGAAACTGAGAAAATCCGAATGATTTAAATGTTGAAGCTGTTTCGGTGTGAGAGATCTGGAGCTTGTGAAGCTTCGATATTGTGCAGAGAGAGAGAGAGAAAGAGATTGGAGTTTTTTAAAGGTTGGTATATGATAACAGAGTGTGATTTCTATTGCCTTTTTTGATTGATGATTTATATAAAATAACCTATGATTGTCTAAAATATTGGTTTACACATACATTGGAAGAGTTTTGAAGGGGTTTCCCGAAGGATTAGAGATTGGATTGGGCTTTGGTGAAGATTTGGTCCCTTTTTCGTAAGAACTTGAGGAGGAAAACAGACAACAAAGCTGAGTTAAAGGTTTGCAATTGAAGAGACAAATCCGATTACTTGTGAATTTTTCTGTGCTATGAACAATGTTTTGTGCTTAACTTTATAATGTTTTTCAATCTCTGGTTTGACAGGTGCATTTGCGAGAGATTCGGAGAAGTTTTGAACTAGGGTGATCGGTTTCTGGGGTTTGAAAATTCAGACCAAAGACGTAGATCGAGAATTGAAACTTGGAATTTATTGTCATTTTCTTCAAGAATCAATTAAAAAGGACCGAATATCTGTTAATTCAGCAGTGATTTTTTTGACTGGGAAAGAAAGAAAGGTACAAAACAATGGCGCTTGGAAAAATCAGAATTAAACCAAGTTGGATATTTGAATATAGCTGATGATGATTTGCTGTGCTTTGGTTTTGCAGTCTCTTTGGGCGACTCTGTTTTGAGCAAATTGGTCTTTGAAATAGAGAAGCTGGAGATTTCGGATCCGTCTGCCTGAATATTCAGGGACTGTTTAATCAAAGCTCGTTTGATTGTTCCTCTTGCTGTGGTTGTGTTTTGAATCAACTTAATCTGTGTTCATAATTGGATTCAGAGAAACGGAGTTGGAGCCGTTAAGTTTCAGGTAACGGCGATGCTTTTCCGAGCTGGACCCACCCTTCTTTTTTCCGCTGTTTTCCCAGAGGGTTGATGTGTGAATTCGGAGATGTAGCCATTGAAGCTCTTGGTTTGTATATAGATTTTTTTTTCTCCACTTTCTGCTTCACAAGCTCTTTTAACCATCAATGGCTGTTCCATTAATTAGTACCTTTGGGTGTTTTTCCCTCTTTGATCTTTTTTATTAGAGTAAATCCATCGCGTTTCTTCCTTATATTTTGGGTCTTTGAAAATCTGATTATTTGTTCTTCTTCTTCTTATTGACAATCACCAGTTAATTTGCAAATCGCTCTCTCTCTCAACCATTTTCGTATTTGGAATCCAATTTGTTTCTCGGGTTTCCTCTGTTTCACTGCTTTCAAATCCTTTCTGTTGTCATTGCCTCGTTTGATAGAAAACCTTGAGATTTGAGGCAAGTCTTCCCCCCCCCCCCCACACCCAAAATCCAACCCAATTCTAATCTCAACCATTTTCAGAAAGTGTCTCCTGTTCCGGTGAGTATTCTCGGCAAACAAACAAGCAGCTTCTTGCTTGTTTGAGGTTAGATCTTTTACAGAGCACCCATTTTTAGACCCTACATCTAAAAAAGTTGCTATATTCGCAATAACGTTCTAATTTCAGTGAAAAATCTTAATTTGTGCCTTTCATCATTAACTAGTTCTTCTTCTACCACTTTTGTTTGATTTTGCATAAAGTTTTACAGAAGCAATAAAAAACTTGAATTTTCTTTGTTTTTTTAATTTTTTTTTGAGAAAATTATTCGAAATGGACTTACCAAACTGACCAGAGTGAACTATGATATGAACAGGTGTACAAGAGAGAGAGAGAGAGAGAGAGAGAGATGGAGAAGAACCACCACAACAATCGAGATGGGTCATTGCTAAGATCAACAAACGACGCATCCGAGACCAGATCGCAGGCTACGACGTCGTCTGACTTCGTATTGCAGTGGGGAAACCGGAAGCGGTTGCGCTGTATGAAGTTTCAGGTGAGGGACACTAACACCACCACCACCACGAACAAGGACTCGGCCGGTCCAAACCCAGTTCAGAGAACAACGGTTCGGGTTGATCGCCGGGTTGTCAGATCGGATCACAACGTGGACTCGAATCAACCCACCACCGCCACTACTACCAATAACCAAACTAACGGCTATCTGAACCTCCGTCAACGGCCAGCATCGCCGCCTCATCGCATTCTCAGGTACTCTCTTCTTTCCTCGACTAATTAGCAATTTTCGATCGGATATATAGTAATGGCAATAATTTTGTGTCTGCCACCAAAAATTGAATTGAATATTAATTGTGTAATATTTATATTTTTAATTATATAATTATATAATTTAAAATTAAGATAAACAAAGAAAAAATAAGATAAAGGTAAAGATGAATTAATGAGATCGTTTGTCATTGAATAATGTATTTGTTGAGTTGTTTGATATTAATAATCATTTAAAAAAATTAGGATAAATTTTTTACTATTAAAATTAAAATAAAATATATGAAAATTAAATTGATCCTAAACGTTATTGTATTTTTATAAATTAAAATTTTAACTTAAGGTTTGGTAGATATGCACGTTTTAAACAGGCTGATGAGGTTTTAGGCAGGATTGGTTATTGTTTTTTTGGTACATCGGAAGAAATTTAAAAAAGGGGGATCGGAGTCTGTCAGACAGACAACCGTGTGACCATTCCAGCAGCAGAGACCTGCTAAGAACGATCCGCTACTGCCCAGATAGCCCAGAACAATACACGGTCATTGTTCATCCACCAGCCTTGGTTTTCCGCATAGTTTTAAAACCCGTCCTAAACATCAATACGGAGGAGGGGTCTTGTCAATGAATTTTTGGTTCAATCACTGGGTCACTGATCGAACCGGTGATATAATAAAAAATTAAAAAATAATTATTAATGATGATAAATAGATTAAAAAATTAAAATAGTTATAAAAATAACATGTTTAATATATATTAAATCAAATAAAATTATCAAGTCTGAATCACTTAATTGCATTCAATTAACAGCCCAACCTCCACCCTCAAACCTGAATCACTTAATTGTAGTCACTTAATTTTTGAGTTAACAAACACTGAACGAATGATTTAAAATTTAAGACAAAACAGAAGGAGAAAAGAAAAAGACACAAAAATGTAAAAAAAAGACATATTTATACTAAAGGAACAAAATCGGCCGATTTTATAAACCCGTCCGGTTTTCACGGGTACCGGTTTTTTGACCCGTTTATCGGTTTTATTCCGGATTTTTTGCTCAAATAATCTAATTACAAAACCGGCCCGGTTAGAAAACCGTGTTACCAGTTAACCAGTCGGGCCGGTGAGACTGGATTTTAAAACACTGGTTTTCCGTCTCCTTAGAACTCTAGGATAGAAAAGTACGACCCTATAGATAGAACAGAGTAAGGTCGCCCATTTTAGACCAAGTCAATTACCCAGTTTAATAGTGCTGATTTTATTTTAGTTGACAAGAAGTAGATACCCCTACTGCCTGGAAACTGTGTCATATTGGGCTCAGGGAGTGCTTATTTTTTGGGGGCCCTTGGGTCACTGTCCATCGTTCTCCCAAGTGGGAAATTAATGGTCTTTTCTGCTTGATGGATATGGGAATTAATGGTCCAGATGAGAGTGTTCCTCTTTGTCATGGGTTATCCCTTTTTTCATTAAGGCTCTTTTTGGAAGTAGGGATAGGGATAGTGTTCGTGTATACGCTTTCGTGGACGTTATCTTGTCAGATGTACACTTGAAATACTTTTGACGAGAGAGATCCGTTTTAGATAAAAAAGAAAGACTTGAAATTCAAGTTTTTTTTTACCCAACAGCTGGTATGTGATAATGTTGTTTATGGTAGACTGTATTACATGAAATCATAACTCCTCTTTCTAGACTTAAAAAGTTGATTGAGGTATCTTGCCATGTGTCCCACCTCAACCCCCAATCCCACTCCCAAAACCATTTCACACCGTCTGATCCAAAATCAAAGATTAGCAAATGGGGTCCACACACACACACTCTCTCTCTCTCTCTCCTACCTCAAAATAACTAAGGCAAAAACACCCCCAACCAACGGCTTAAATCTAGCCACAAACCAAACCCACCCTTTATTCCTCCCATTTAGTACTCTCCCACTTCCCTTTCCCCCACCTGCGCACATTAGATTCAATTACTATACCACTTTTTTTTTTAAAGTCTTGATCTAGAGACTAGTGGCCGCTAGAAACCCACACAAGGTTATTTTGGTAATTTTATATTTTGTCATGTTTATTTTTTTACAATTTTTCTTTATAATTTAGGAGTTCTTTCTAACCTGTAATGGGTTTGGGTTTGTGTTTGCGTGGATTTACTTTTTTAGGAATTCTGAGAGTTCAATTGCCATGAGAGGACACAGTAACGGCGTAAAGGGACGGCTGGCTTCTCCGGACAGAGGGGGTGCGCACGATAAGAAAACTATTAACCACCATACCAACGCCACCAGGTCCATCACCAACAATCATAATGATGATAATAAGAACGGTTTTGTTGTTGTTGGCAGTGGTGGTGGGTCGGCATCGTCGGGTACAGCGCATGATAGCAAGAAAGGAGGAGGGTCATCGTCGGGGAGTGAAGCGATTCCGGCAGTGTGGCCGCCGAAGTTCGTGATCGCGTTGACGAACAAGGAGAAAGAGGAGGATTTCATGGTCCTAAAGGGGTCTAAACTCCCTCAGAGACCCAAGAAGAGAGCCAAGTTCATTCAGCGCACAGTGAACGTAAGCTTCTCTCTCTCTCTGTGCTTCAATTTCTTAGTTTCATTGATAATAATAATAATAATTTTGCATGATTATTTGCTATGGATTATTTTATGATCAAGGAGATTAGAAAATTTTAGGATTTTTTTTTTGGGTCTTTTACCAAAACACGACACAACAGTGATCATCGATGTAATTAGCAAAATTTAGAGTATTTTGTGGGAATAGAATTTGCGAAGTGCACCAAAACAAGCTTAGTATAAAGTTTTATCTAGACAAGTCGAGTTGGGTTGAGTATTATTCAATAAAATCCAATTCAACTGTTATTTGAGTATTTTTTTCAATTTTATTAAATGCCACAAAGTAAGTAGAATTGTGAAAAAGTTATTGTTTCTAGAGAAAATCTTAAGCAAAATTGAAAAATCCTGCTTCTTTTTGTTTGAAGTCTTATATTTTATATTTTTTACATTAGACCCTCCTGTTTTTTGGGAATATAATTTTAAATTAATTCGCGATCGAATTAATTAATTGACGGGTTGACGCAAATTTAAACACAAAAAAAAAAAGCTCAACTGGTGATTGTAGTTGTAATAATGATTTAGGTATTGGGGCCAATTGGGTTGGGATTGGAACTTGGAAGAGAGAAGGGGGGGCAACATTTATTGTTCATGGCCTACTCTGCCTTTTCCTTTGTGACGAAAGGACAAGAAAAGTGTATAAAAGGACAACAGGGTATGATGTAGAAGTATACTGTCACACGAGGCATGGTTTTTTTAAATCCACAACCTTTCCCATGGACGGACCAGACTAATATATTAGGTAAACTCTACGATTTTTCGTATTGTATATGTTATTATTTTTATAATATAGTTATAATTTTAAAAAAATTATAATTTTTTAGAGAGGTTATGATCGATTATGAAAAATATGGTATCGATTTTAATCTTTTATGATCGATCATACCTTTTAACCGTACATTATTTTGAAATCAAAGTGGATAGCCACATCCGTTAGTCTTGTTAATATTTATTTTTGGAGGGGTATTCACCAATCCGACAAAAATATTAAATTTAAAAACTAGAAAGGATACCAAAAAAACCCACACAAAGTCTTATAACGAGTACTATTATGCTTATATCCAACATGTAACATGAATGATTTTTTTTTTCCCAGTAAGTAATTAAAAGGCGAATGAATTTTTTGGTGAAATTTAAACACATTTCGTGTTTGAACAAACTACCCCATTTGGATTGATGACTTGGTCTTGGTACTAGAAAAGTAGAATTGGGAATTTAAATGATGGGTGAACCATGTACCATGTGGTCTGTGATTCTTTATTAATGTAAAGCTATTTAGACTGAGAAATAATAAAAAAAAAAAAAAATTAAAACACTAAGGGACAAGACTGGGTACAGGTGGAATGGTTTTTAATTTTTTATGTTCTTTATTGTGGCGGCATTTTCATGTATTTTATATAAACTTGTGTAAATTACCTTGCTTGTGATACCTTGCTTGGACCACAATCACAAAAGGCACTGATTGCACGTAGACTTGTCAGCGGATTGAGTTTGGATTGAATTTTAACAGAGCCCAATTCGATTTGATAATCCGACGGATTTTATTTTCGTAGTTTGTATCCAAATCAATTAACAATCCAAAATTACAAGTAATTTTTTGTCCACTTTTTCTGGTTTTAGTTTTTTTTCTTCTTCTTCGTTGTGTAGAGATGGTATTAGGGCTTGATCCTTGACGTTCTGGTCTCATGTGGCCCCTCTGTTACCATTAGGTACAATGGTACCATGATTTTTCCATTCACCCCCACATAACCTATCTGAATTTCTGTGTCTTTTTGTTTGTACAGTTGGTAAGTCCTGGGACATGGCTATGTGATCTGACCTTAGAACGATACGAGGTCAGAGAAAAAAAGGTCTCCAAGAAGGTGAGTACATAAAAACTTAAAACCTTAAGGCGGAGATATAGATGTACGCGTAATTTATTTATATCTGAAGAATATATAGTTACTCTAATGTCTGACCTTCGACTTCATGTCGTGTTTGTGTATGTTGCAGAGACAAAGAGGGCTAAAGGCTATGGGTAACATGGAGTCCGACTCCGAGTAGATGGAACTCTATGGAACAAATGGGTTTGTTTTTGAAGAGAAGTTGATGAAAGTTGTTGAGCCTTTAGGTGAGGATAATAGGAAGACCTGTGCATTTCTGTAATTTCATCCCCTTTCACCTTGAGTAGAAGTAGTAAAAGAAATATATTTACCTTCGTTGATCATGTTGTGTCGTTATTGCTTTTGTTTTTGGATTTGAATACGGTAGGGAATTTTTTTTTTTTTTCCGGTATCATATATTTATTTATCACATTTGTGGGTTCTTTTATCACTGTTGTGGTATCCCAAAAATAATAAAAAATAGTTACTACAATAGTGATAAAAATATTTATAAATGTGATAAAAACATTCATAAATGTATTAAAAATACTCATAAATGTGATAAATTTTTTGTACCAAAGAAAAAGTGGTAAAAATTATTATGACAAGTGTGATAAAAATATTCACAACAGTTTTAAAAATATTATTAAAGTGATAAATTTTTTAGTTGTAAAGTGGCTCGCCAAAGTTGTGAAAAATACTCATCAAAATAATATAAAATCACCGAAATTATTGCTTCGGTACTATAGTCAAATCCTTTGTTTTTCGTAATTTGATCTTAAGTTGTTTGAAACGGCAAAAAGATTTTCTTAATTAACTAACAATTGACCAAAAAATTCATAAGGATTCATATGCCATTTTTCTTATATAAATACTAGTAATAACTTGTGTTCGAAGGCGTTCTACGCTATTATTAATAATTGAACATTGATCTTATAATATAAAGCTCAAACACCTCTTTACCTCGCAAGACTTGCTTGGCGGGTGAGGAGGTGTTGTAATTTCATGCGTTGCATTTTATATCAACTCGGAAAAAAGAATGATTAGATTATTTTTGTGGTGTGTTCACATTTTAAAGAAAAATTCCCAAATGAATCGAACCGCAAAAATTATATAGGCACGTAAAATAAATAATATCTTCACAGTTAGGGTGAATCGTTAGACCTTATTCCCGACACTGTTCCAAATTCCTCAAAATAAACAATTTCTGATTATGTCCGTCATGGTTTTCTCACCATTCATTGATGATCGATTCCAGGTGAAAGTCCGACAGAAATGAAACACAGGGGGGGACCATCTTACTTTAAGTAGGACATCATCCACCTACTACAAATTACAAATAGTCATGCAAAATGAGTAAAGCAATAAACAATTTTTTCCCTCTCTCTTTGTAGAGGTTAATTTTAAAATTTACGCAAGCTGATCAACGCTACAAGTCTAACATCTTTTTTTGGTATTGTGGTCAAAACATGTTGGTCAACTTATGTAAATTTCAATTAATTTTTTTCTCGGTTAGATTAAAAATAGACCATTTACTTCAAAATTAAAAAATTTACGATAAATAAATTTTTATGACCTGATCCTAAAAAAAATTGTCAAATTTTAAATTATAAGTCGCTGTTCTATTCACCGAACTACCTTGCTACTTAATAATTTCGTTTTAGACTAAAGCATTTGAAAGTGGACACTTTCAAAATGAGAATGGCTTCACATTATTCAACCCAAAGTTGGGGGGTGGTATTTGGCCACTATACCTTGAAAGTGGTAGCAGTTAATGGCCAGGAAACTCGTACTCAATCAAATGACATTGGACAAGTGGCAAATCGATTAAAACACGCATTCACTCTAAGCTTGACATTTGCTTCTAAAAAAAAACCAAAATCAAATAAAGAATTAGAAATTAATTTGTAGTAATCAAATGACAATAGAACAATTAGAACACGCATCCACTCTAAGCTCGACACATTTGCTTGGAAAAAAAAAACAATTAATTTTGGTACTAATCCAATGAAAATAGAGCAAATGGCAAAGCCCCAGAATCAAACAAATAAATAATGAGCAATTAATTTGTAGTAATAAAATGAGAATATAGCAAGAGCTAAAGAGATTAAATAAAACCTAAAAAATTGACATAATTTTTAATATAATCATGCGTCGAATGATAGAGTCATTTGCTTAGAAAAACCAAAAATCAAACAAACAATTGAACAATTTGAAGTTCATTCTCCACTAAAAACAAAGGTAGATTTCACTTCCAGTCTACACCAGAACGAAATTCAACAAACTTAGAAACTTGACACTAATACTATCTACTCAAGTCTTTGTGTCATAATCAACAACAGAAGATTTCATGAATCTGATGAGAAAACGAAACAGTGTCTACCATCTTCAAAATCCTTTTCGTTTGTAAACAATCTCAACGAACTAAAAGCAGAATCCAAGATTGACCATTAGACTAGCAGCAGTTGTTTTTCACATCGGTCCGAATATTGTGGGAAATTTAGTCCTCTAAATGTCTATTATTTTCTCTACGATTTCTCAAATGCTCAGAAACTGACAAACAGAAGATTCAATCGATGAACTGGAAAAAAGAAAAGCCTAAAAATTGTTAAATAAAAGATATGAAGACTAGATCACCATTAAATGGAACGTCTAACTGACATGCATTGCATAAGATCTGTGCAGCAAAACACAGTGTATTCAATAAAATCCAAATAAAAGCTCTAGAAGTAAAAAAAATCATAGCAGAAACAAGGTTCTACATTATCACAAACCAATCAACCTACATAAATCTCAGAAATCCAGAAAACATAGACAAATCCATACTATATACTGCTATATACGATCATCGCACGATCACGAACACAAGAGTAAACCAGTAGAAACAGCCTCATAGAACGGTGAGATCTTCAGATCTTGAGTGCAGATCCGAAAAGGAAAGCAACAACAGCGACAGCGCATCCGGTGACGAAAGACGGAGAGATTTCTCCGGCGGAAGAAGCAGGAGCAGGCGCCGGAGCCTCAGCGGCAAGAGAACCGCTGATGAGAGTGAAAATCGTAGTGACTACTGCAAGCAGAGCAATCTTGGAAGCTGTGGACTGAAACACTGCCATTGTTCTTCTCTTGAGAATTTTGATCTAGAGAGAGAAAGAGATTTTCAAATGGATATCTGTAATGTGAAGTGTGATAGAGTTTGAAGCAAGTAAGAGAATGCAGGCCGTGAGAAGTTATATATAAATAAACCAGAAAGAGAGAGAGAGATGTTCGGGCAGGTGCCCAGGCATTCGGTCTGGCTATTAGTTGAGTGACAGCTGGTTCAAAGTATTCGTCGAGAACCTAATTCGAATTTAAAATATATTTGATAGACCGCATTGAGTCCAGAATCTTTGGTCTCTCATTCCCCTGGCTTACGCGCATGTGGCTACGTGCTTGAGCATGTACGGATAATATATATATATATTTATCAAACCTTATCTAACTTTACTTAAATCCCCACTCAAATTTTAATTTTTGAGTAAAAATAAGTTAAAAAAAAATATTCAATTCTTTACTCCAACGTATTAAAAAATGACTCAAATTTTTAATCATATCAAGAAAAATTAAAATCTTTAGTGGCCAAAATTCACTTTCTTTGTTTGTTCAAAGGTTAGTGGTGTCTGGCCCAGTTTATTGACAACTCAACTAATTCCCTCCTTGGTTTAATTAAAGGTAAGACATGCACGCTGGGACTAGAGAGGAATAAATTTTTCATAGCATGGTCCCAAAGAATTGTCAAGATTTAAACTGAGAAGGTCTTTGAGTTTACAGATTTTAATGGTCATATTTTATCATCTTCTAAATTTAAATTTGAACTTGTTTTTCTTTAAATTTAAATTTATCTATTTCAGTGCTTTGTATTAAATCAAATTTTTTACTTAAATTTGTATAAAAATTTGAATCAATATTGAAATTAATCTCTAGTAATAAAAATTTGTTTAATTAAAATTAATACTATTAAGTTATAATTTATAAATTTATTACATTATGACAATTGAATTGATAATAAATTCATTCAGTTGGAACTAATTAATAATTTAATGACTACTATTATTTGTCCTCAAATTATATCTTAATAGTTTGCATACTATTATTCTAATGAATTTTATTTTTATACTTGATTTAACAAAAAAAATAAAAAACAAATAAAAAGTGAAAATGAATATGTATGATGTAATATAAAACAAAAAAAACTTAAAATAGTGAGCAATTAAAATAAAAAGATACGGCAAAAGTAATACTATTTAAGCTTTAAACACTTTTTGTTATTAGAATTGACAGTAAAATTTTTTATTGGATTGAGACTCGTTACAAATTCAGAAAATATGATTTATTAAATTAGTAAATAAAGTCAACAAATTAAGTTTAAATAATATTTTTTATAAATATTTTGACTCACATTAATTATAATTTATACAAATCCGACGTAATAATAATATTTATCTATTAATAGCCTTAATTCTCACAATAAAGGAGAAAAAAATGTAGCGATTGGTGAACACGTACAGTGAGAGGTAGTAGGTATTGAAGTGGTGTTGATGGGAAAGGGAATGATTAACGCACTACAAGGTGCAAATGAAAAGCGATTCCCATCAACCAACGCAACTGCTGCCAGAGATGGGGCTTTGTTGGTGGGGTCCACGCACCATGTGAGCACACCTGTAATGTGTGAACAAACCACCAGCGGAAGAAGGACACGTGGACTCAGGGTGGAAAAACAGGCGTCAAAATTGACGGGGAAGTCACGGTACGTGGTATTGTTTTGTTGGTAAGTTGGTTACTTAAGTGATGGTTTATGTTGTGCTAAATCAGATGATTTGTCATTATTAATTAAAATAATAATAAAAAAATTCCAAATAGACAAATTATAAAGATGAATACAATTTTATTTATCAAAAAATAAAGATACTGTACAAGAAAAAGTATTTTTTTTGATATCGTACTGAGGCCAACCCTTAAGATTGATAGTCAAGCCTTAAAAAGATATTTTATATGAGTTTAAAAAATTATTTAATTTTTATTTATATAAAAAATAAGTCAAACTCAAGTAGATCGATTCAATTAACAATCCTAGGAGTGTCCATGGCCGGGTTGGGCTAGACTCGCTAATTTTTTTTCGAGTTGGACATGTATAGATTAAGTCCAAACGCTTATCCAAGTGAGTTATCAGTTGAACCAGACCAGACCAGTCTCTGGATAAGTGCAGGCCATCTGCAACCAACTATTGGGTTTCGGGCTGGGTAATGAAACTTGTGAGTAATCCAGCCCATGAACACTCCTAATCAACCCTATCGACTGTCCATTACTGTATTCAATATCATATTTTTAATTTTTCACCAATAAAAATACATTGAAATAAATTTTTTATTTATGAATTTTCATTTTTTATTATTTTATTTCATTAATAGTTATAAATTATTCCCTTAGATCAGAGAGCTTGGTTATCATAAACTTCAGAATGAAGTAGGTTAGATAGATGGATAAAAAAATAACCACAACTTCAGTCTTAATCATCGACAACCCTGAAAAGGGTACAAACGAGCGGGAGGAATAAAGAGAGAGAGTGGATGGAAAAAATATGAATTGGGTGGAAAATCCAGTCGAGATTTTAAAAAATGTGATGGCGTGATCATCTTCCTTCCCATCTCCTTGACTGTTGAGAGAAGGAATGCGGCTGACACGTACGACTAATTATATTTATGGTAGCAACAAAATTGGACTCATCAAAACTCGGGAGGATACTTAATTTGAAAAAAAAATGAATTAACCCATTTTAATGTTTTATTTGGTACGATAAAAAAATAAAATGATAAAAAATTGAAGTGATAGATAAAATATAGTGTTTGATAAGAAAAAAAATAGAAAAATTTTATCGACAATTTTACATCCACCAACACTTTTTCTAAATTTTATATTTTAAATCAATGTGAATCATGAGATTAGTAAGTCCTGCAAGTTTTCAATAACTATCCGATGACTCTCAATCTAACACATAATTTGAGATCAACGACTTATTAAAAGATTTTGCGGACATAGCATTTTTTATTAATTAATTACATATTATGTATATATTAATTTTATATATAGATATAATGGTCAAATGTATATTTATATTTTTTTATAAAAAAATTTATAAATACTTTTTCAATCTTATCAAATACAAAAAAAATAAAAATTAATCATTCCTATTTTCTATTATTCTTATTAAACACAAGAAAAAAAAAAGAAATGATTATTCCCTTAAAGGATAGAAATTATATTACTCATATTTTTTATTTTTCTATTTTTTTTATCCATTTTACCAAACAGATCATAACAATTCTCCGGGGATCCCTTTTTTGTTTTTCACACACACACACATATATATATAGATCCCTTTTTTGATATTCATTTTATATTTAAAAAATTGTGAAAACAAAAATAAAAAAATAATTTTTGTATTATACCAAAAATTCACTACCTAAACCCCACCACCCAACTCCACCATCGAAACCCACCACCACAGATTTTCGCTTGTTCATTGTCATTTTGACAAATGATCAATTCAATTCACCACGCACAACAAGCATTCCTTTCAGTAATGCCAAACACAAAACCCTAAAATCATATAATTACCATAAATAAGCTAAAACCCTCATAATCAATAATATAATCGAATCCAAATAAGCGCAAACCATAATTGTAGGTTCCAATTTCATCGTTCAAGCTTCAATAATAAAATAATGCAAAAGAAAAAAAAGATCTAGTTAGAACTCGTAATCGATCACCTTCACAAATTTATATCAACAACAATGGGAACCTTAATTAAAGAATTTGTTGAGCAAACGATCCAAAAATCTATCTAAAATAAAGAAGAACGAAAAACATGAAAACTAATCAAACAAGAGAGTGAGTCGAGAGAGACAATATACCTAAAAAAATGGAATGATTGGCAATGGCGATGGCTTTGGCTTCGACTTTGTCTTCGTTGTTGGCACAGAGAGAGAGAGAGAGAGAGAGAGAGAGAGAGAGAGGGGGTGAAAGAGAGATGACTTTTTATACCTCAGCAAAAATGTTATTTTTTGTTGCTAAAGAGGATCAAAATCAAGACCTCGTTAAAAGCCGCGTGCATCTGTTTTTTTTTTTATGTTTTCAAAAGCATATTTTTGGATGTTTTCATATTTTAACTTTGTTTTTAAAGCAGAGCTGTTAAAAAAAAGATATAAACATTCATCAAACATTTTTTATTTTTTTTTAAGCCATAAAATAAAAAAAAACGAAAAAAAAAAAAACAAAAACGGGTGATTGCCAAACGCCACTAAATGTTTTCCTTTATAATAACAATGGTCATTATGTCATTGCATCCCCTATTTAGTTATTAAATATTAAACTATTAAGTTTCTTGAATATATTAAATCAAAATTCCGAGGCCTTAAAGGTTATTTTTCAAAATATGTGATCGACACATGTCTCTCGTATATTCAATTGTACGTAGTAATCAGTACAAAGCAAACCCGTCCCATTAGTCAATAAAGAATGAGTTTTTCCCAAACTTCATTCAAGAAAAAAATTCTTATGTGTTTCGACTTATAGTCATCAATATCTCCGTCTCGTATTTATCCTCTACATTTTCTAATGAAAATCTAATATATTTTGCTTATTCTTATATACCCACTGAAAAAAGTTACTAGACAAAGATAATCACTTGTTGATATAGAAAAAAACGAGTTGCTTACCTGCCATAGTACTTTGGGTCAACCGTGGTCTTTCCACGGACAGAAAGTGATACTTTAAGCAAGACCCTATATTTATATTTGAACAAATATATTATTAATCACTCACTTATGTTAGGGTTTCAAATCGAACACACGTGGCCACACAAGACTTGCCTCAGGACTTTGGCATGTGATCAACGTGGCTTGTCCACGTGGTCCATTCTTAGCAGATTAAAACTCATACATAAACCTTTTCTTTTCTTTTTTTGTCGTTGTGTTTTTTTGTCCTTGAACCATCGGTTTCAAGATCGGGAGAATTACGTATAGACCCAGATTTGTAGTTTAATTATTTAAATTTTTTGATATTCGAAATATTATACACAAATCTTTTGAAATTTATATGCACATAATATTTAGACTCCTACCGTTGAATGTCTGTTAATATATCCGTTAATAAATTACACTCAAACTTCTTGAAATTTATAGAAGCATAATACTTAAACTCCTCAAGTTTAAGATGTTATACTTAGACAAAAATATTCTAATCAAATATAAAATATAAAATATTTTAAATTTTACAACCAAAATTCAAGTTATATTATATCATTTATTGAAATAAAATTAAACGTCAATTTTTCTTTAAAAAATCGTAACTAGTATATAATTATACTATTTATTGGAAAAAAACTAAAAAATCAAATAAGGAGTCTAAGTCATTAATAATAGAATATGAATTTTATAACCAAAATTTATGTTATATTATGTCATTTATTGAAATAAAATCAAAAATAAAAATTTATTTTTTTTCTTAAAAAATCATAATTAGTATACAATTATACTATCTATTGGAATAAAACAAAAAAAATTTAACAATTGGTTAAACTATAATTGATACAATATATTCTAGCTTTAATTGGGGGTAATTTGAAAGTTTAATTTAGTCGTTTTAACAATCAAATTAAATTTCAATAGATAGTATAATTATATATTAATTATGATTTTTTAATAAAATTTTAGATTTTTATTTTTAATTTTATTTTACTAAATGTCATAATATAACATGAAGTTTGGTCGTAAAATTTAAAATATTTGATATTTTATTTTTGATCGAAATATTTTTGGTCTAAATATAAAATTTTAAATTTGAGGGGTGTAAGTGTTATGCGTGTACAAATTTTAGGAGATCTAGATGTAATTATAATTGTATACTAATTACGTTTTTTTTAAAAATAAATTATTTTTAATGATACAATAGAATATGAATTTTAATTATAAAATTTAAAATATTTGATATTTTATCTTTGATTGAAGTATTTTTTTGTCTAAATATAACATTCAAAACTTAAAGAGTATAAGTAATATATGTTTACAAACTTTAAAGAGTTTTGGTGTAAGTTATTAACAGACTAAACATAACTCGTACTTGAAGACACGATAAAATATAAAATTCGAGCATCTAAAAAATCGATTTCATTATATTAATTTTTTTAAAAATATATTAATTACAAATTAATCAAATATTAAATAATTAAATATATGATAAAAATGAGTGATGTGATGTTTTTAGGGAAGAAATATATAAATGATTCAACATATGATAAAAATAAATAATGCGATTTAACGTTTGAATTTGGCAAAAGAATGATAAGTGAGGTAAATGATTGATGATGATTTTAAAAAAAAAAATATGACTGGGATAAAATTCAAACACACTCTTATTTTATTATATAGATATATTTACCGCAGTCCAAGTGTAACGTGCATGTGCAAACAAATTTTAGAGGATTGCGTGTAATATTTCAAAAGTCAGGGAGTTTGAGTGAATAAGTGACAAACTTCTGGGTCTCGGGGTCCGAACGTAGTTCTCCTTTTTTTTTTTTTTTTTTTTTTTGTCCTTAAACCGTCGGTTTCAAGATTCCAGCAATTGCACATACTTATAAACACCAGCTAGTTCAGAGGTGCAATTTGATCTGCTTGGATGGTCTGATCAAATGGCCTCTAGTCCTCATCAAACCCACATCCCTCTTCCTCCTGACCCAGGTAATTCTTTTGCTCTTCGTTTTTTTTGTCCTGTAAAAATGTATCTTCAATTGGATTGTAACTATGAGCTAATAGACAATGTTTAGTCAGGTATGATCAACAATTATTTCTTGGGTTTTGCTTATTTTGAGTTGGGTTTTGGAAATTATCGATCATATGCCTGCTGATTTGATGAATTAGAGTGTTTCAATTATTTCTGAATACGGGTGATTTGATACTGTTACTGATCTCAATCTCTTGGTTCATGCTGGCAATTACATATCATGCCTATAGATTCAAGAATATATGTTGTGAGTCGCATTTCTAGTCCTCTGTGAGGGTGTGGCTGTGGGTGTGCTGTTCTGCTTTGGGTTTTGAAATGGCTTGTTAAAATAACTTGATATGAAAATTAGGTTTAACGTGAATTTATCACCGTTTGCTTCAGATGGTTGGGAGTTTCCATATTGTTGTTAATTGGGCTTCATGCCTCCTTCACCAGGAATTTTGAGAGAATGATATTTTTTTCCCAACTTTCTAGATACGTACAGTGATGACTCACATTCATGCATCCCACTTGCTTTTTGGGAATTCCTGAATGTAGTACTATTTCAGGCATTTATACACGTCTTCGTGTTAGGCGCTTGTAACAATTACCAGACCTGACAATTGTAGGGGGCATGGGTATCCAATGTAGTCCAATGGAACCAGTTTAGGCACGGCATTTGGGATGTTGGTATTGAGTTAGGGGTTGTTCCTAACATTTTTTTTTATGAAATAGAAATTATTAGACTTTATACTGAAAATTTATGGGCATCGTGTGAGTTTAACGAGTTAATTATGGTTATATCTTTATATTAGATTGTCATTTTACATGCTAAGTGGGCTTATTTAGTTTGCACTGCACATCCAGTTACACCACACTCTTTAGCATCTAAAATCCGCTCTCGTACTTAACAGAGCACAACGTAACATTTTTTTTCTTGCAAAAGTTAATATAGTTGGTGAGAACGATTAACTAACAAGGATGCAGAGCTAGGAAATTTTATGGTATGTGATGCTCTGGAATTATATTGTCCTTTTCCCTCATTTTCTGTCCTTTTTTTTCCCTGTACTTTGTAATTAGTTTCCTGAGGTCTGCACCATTCCCACTTGCTAGTTGTCTGTGTCTTAGATTTGATTCTGAGAATTGTTCTGACTAATGCACCCTGTTTAGTAATACCACTATTAAAATCCCAAAAGAAACTGGAAAAACTAAAACCTTGGGGGGGGGTTTAACAGCTTCGACTGAACATGGACCTGAAGGTGGTATGTGAATTGTACTCGTTGGTTTTCAGTTTGTTATCCAGAAGATGGTATTTCAATTTTCTTGTTTGCATCTATCTGTTTTAAGAATTATTGCAATCCATATTGCTGTTGTTTCTCCTATTTTTTGCAAAGCCATATCTCTAAGTTGGGCATTTTAACTTCCAATCTACATTTTAAAACAGTAATTTACTGTTTTTGCAGGTGAAAATACCATCACTCATGAAGCTAACTTGTCTCCAGTTCCTATTTATATTGTCACACATGCGGGTCAGCTTCCAAGTGAATTCTTGGAGCCATCTCCTGAGAGGCAATTGGTGATTGGTTTTGACTGTGAGGGTGTTGATCTTTGTCGTAATGGAACTCTTTGTATCATGCAGGTGATTTTTTTTTGGGTTACCATTTTAGGCTAGATAACTGAATTGGACACTGCAGTTTTAAAATTTTCCTTTGTGTCATGGGATTGATTTTAACTTTTTTTTTTAACTTTACCATAATTTTATGTAGAATACCATTTCCTATGACCAGACGTGTATTTTATCTACTTTTGAAAACTAATAAGATGTGCGTATAAGCATTACAAATGAATATGAGCCTAAGTAGACTGATTGAAAGATGATAGCTTACCTATTTAGTTAGACATTTCATGGTTTCATGATGTAAGCATTGCTATACAATTGGTGTATATGTAGTCGTGAATCTAGAAGTAGTATAGTAGTGAGTGACTGAGTGTAGATATTATGCACATTGCCAAGATCTATTGATCTCGGAGTCCAAAGGATTAGGTTTTTTTAGCTTTTCTTTACTAGGTCTCTTCAGTTTATTTCGCATCAGCATTGAGTATAAAACATTATGTTTTTTAATTTGTCATATTGATGTGGAATTTTTGCGCTTCTCAAACTGGGTGCTGTTTCCATATCCAAAGCAATATGCTGTAATTTTCTTTTTGACCTTTTAACTCTTCTATCCATGGCATTTATTTAGGATTTCATATGTGTATAATCAATGGATTTGCATGATGAGAGTTAAACAGGGCAGTTGAAATATGGTTTGCTTTTTTTGCAGCTGGCCTTTTCAGATGCTATATATTTGGTTGATGCTATTCAGGGTGGAGAGATGCTTATGAAAGCCTGCAAGCCTGCACTTGAGTCCAGTTACATCACTAAAGTTATTCATGATTGCAAACGAGATAGTGAGGTCTCTTATAGATTTCTTCTGCTTTTGGACCTCAGGATATTTGAATGAATGTTTCATGTTTGATGTTTTTGAACCTGTTTTTATCTTGCAGGCACTGTACTTTCAATTCGGGATTAAGTTGCACAATGTTGTGGATACCCAGGTGAGCGTCTTCACTTTTTCAAGTTTATGGCTGGCATTGCTGGCCATCTTGTTTCTTCTCTTTTTTCTTTCCCCCTTTTACCTGTGCTGTAGTATTTCTTGTGGAAGCTTTCTAGTAGTCTGTCATACTGTATTGCAAAAAAACTATGACCAGTTTAAAAAGGAGATATGTGTTTTTTCTGGACGGTGGTTTTCTGGAGGGGGGTTGAGGTTTGGATATCTGATTGAAAACACATCCTAGAGGTTATCAGGTTTTCTGTTTACTACATGTTATTGATATTCACGATTTAATTATTTGTTTTGCCAACATTAACAGTCTACTTACTTTGAACAATGGGTCTATTTAATTGACTAGGTGTAGATCCCTTTTGTTAGCCCGCTGCACATTTGTAAGCCATTATCTTGTTCTTCACTGCTTTTTTTTTGAGCCCAAAAAACACTTGAGCATTTGTTGTGCATAATCTCTTTGGGAGCTTCTTTAATAATGGGCTGGTTAGTAGTTTTTTCTTCTTTGTCACCTTGCCTTCTACTTATACAGGCAAGCAGTTTTGTGATCACTTTTAATAAAAGCTTGAGGTTAGTTACCTCAAATTGATGAATCTTCTTGACTTCGAAGAGATTATGTTTGGACGGGTATATGCAATGGGACTTTTCTTTAATCGATTATGATTGACAGTTTCTTCACATGCAGATTGCTTATTCTTTAATTGAGGAGCAAGAAGGACGGACAAGAGTGCTAGCTGACTACATATCATTTGTTGGCCTCCTTGCAGATCCACGCTATTGTGGTACTTGGTCTTTTTCGGTGTTGATTTTTCTGTTTCTGATCCTGGAACCTTTTGCAGTTTAATGAATATTTTTATCAAGAGTGCTTGCTTGGCATGTGTCATTATCATTGTTGGAATGGTTGTAGTTTCAGTGGTTTTTATTTGCATTTTCCGGAGTAACTCATGTGCATCTGATTTAGTCGGGCAGATGGGGAGCTAGAAAAGTAATGTGCAGAGTGAAATTATATGTTAAAATATGAATCCGACCAAATCTTATTGGCTATTCCATTTTTGAATTTTTTTCCTTTCAATTTTTCTTTTTACATTATGGAACATGACACTGTTGGTCATCTACAAGCTCAGGAAGACACATACATCTGTCTTAACAGAATGTGTAGTGTGCCCGTCCATAACTTAGCAAAAGGATATATTCCTGGATCTTGTACTCCCTTTTGTAGTATGTTTACCATTCTACAGTTTCTCTAATCCTAGAGGATGTGGTATTTTTGTTGACATGCATTTATCACCTATTATTGTGCGGAAATGGTTCTTGGATTTTGACTTCGAGATTTGAATGCAGGTATATCTTATGTCGAGAAGGAAGAAGTTCGTGTACTTCTGAGGCAGGTTGGTTTCAGTGTCTTCTTAATAACTGTTCTGAAACCGGGAGGCACAGGGTCGTCCCTGTTGGCAAAGGCTTACCTCCCACAGTCAAAACTTATGTTCAAGCCTCTTCCCTCTCCCCCCCCCCCCTCCTTCTTTTTTCCCCTCACTAATTACATAATATGCTTTTCTTAGCTGTATTAAAAAAAAGTTATCCTTCCTCTGGTCTGCTTCTCACAGTACAGACTTCTGGGTCTTTTGGTAAAAAGGAAAAGTTGTTTGTCCTTGCTTTAGATGAAGTTCAATGGATCAATCTCTTATGATGGTTATACGTACTATTTTTTTAATATATTTATTTTTCCATATATAAAACCTCAGATCTGCATTTTCAGCCCATCTCCATAATATAGATGAACTTTATTGCCACGTGCATCTTATATTTCAGTGAATGGCTCATCACCTCCTTACGCATCTGTCCAATGAATGAAGGTGGTCGTCTGTGATTTTTCCTTAATGTTTAGTGTACTAAGTTATGGAAAGTCCTCCATTCACAACTAATAGCCGATGCTGGTGCC